AGGGTAGTTGTCTGGGGGTAGTTGTCCAGGGGATAGTTGTTCCGGGGGTAGTCGTCCTAGAGGGTGGTTGCCCTAGGGGGTAGTTGTCCTAGGGGGTAGTTGTCCTAGGGGTAGTTGACTAGGGGTGGTTATCCGAAGGGTAGATGTCCAGGGGGTAGCTGCCCTAGAACCGCTCATCGCAGATTGGGCATGATATATATTTTAAAAAAGGTAAGTAGGTATATCTGCCACATCTAACACTCTTGAATCGCCACCCGAGCATTTCTACTATTCAGAAATGTTTGAATAGCGATTTGTTTTTTGTCATGACAAGTCTGAGAGACCAAACAAAAAACTAATTTGAAGTATTACTTTTGTCACATGAGTCGTTGTCAAGCGAGCAGAATAACAATAAAAATAGAAAAAAGTAAATAAAATTACAATTTCGTTTTATAAAGTGTTTCAAAACCTTGTTATCAGATTACCTCAGAGCTTTATAATTTTCTTTTCAATGATTAGGTAAACATTTCCCTTTCAATAGTGTTTAAAGTTCAAGGTCCGTCATGCTCTGAATTGCTCTTAAACAGCACAGTTTATGAGATAGCTATGAATAGCACCAAAGTCTGGCCTAGGAATTCAGAAGCGACAGACAAATTTACCTCGATGAACCAACCCCGAAGCCACGTGAAATATAAACACGACATTTCTTGTCATAATTATTCGTCCAGGTATCTGAGCCTGTCACCAGCTTAGCCTGCGGACGTCAGCGTTAGCCACACAGCTATGCTTCCTTTTTAAATACATTCAAGATTCCCCTCGATCTTGCATGTTTTACTCTTTAGATGCATTTTCAAACACTTTTGTTAAAAGGGGTAATTTTTAATAGTTCCCTTGTTATTTCCATTGTCCACTTTAAGTCCCTTGTATCCTTCGCCAGTTTGTAAACATTTTGTCAATATGCCAAAGTTAAGGGCAAGATTTTACTTGTTATATAAGCGGGTCCTTAAATTGCACGAGTTAAGCCAAAGGGCCTTTGTGATAGTGATGGTTATTTTATCTTGCCATGAAGACAGCTAGGAAAGCAATAAATGCTTGTTAGTAAGCAACCAGAAGACCGACGGCTTAAAGTCCTCTCCGAGGGACCTGATAATGAGTATTAATGCCTTACCAAAGGACACTAGCCCATCGACTTGGTTTCGAACCCGGGTCACCGGATAACGAGACCACTGCTCTACCGACTGAGCTATCGCGCCTCATTTTTCACTGTATTTTAAAAGATACCTAAATTAAGATGAAAATGAAAGGGGGCAGGTAAAGTAATTGGGGCAAAGTCATGCAGAGGCTATAGAGTTTGGAGGGAAAACGATGGAACATGAGATAAACGTAAGAAAGTGACAGAGAGAGAGAGAGAGGGGGGGGGACAGAGGAGAGGGAGGGATGAGTGAGAGTAACAGAAGAACAGAACACGACGTGGACAGAGAGGCAAAGGCCTACTGATACAGATACGACAGAGGGAGACATTTTTCTTATCATTCTGATCACGCATAATAGATTTGCAAAAACAAAAACTATCATAGTCAAATGTACTGTAGGAATGAAACGTTGTTTTACTTTGTTTTCATTTCACACACATAATTTTTGATTTGTTTCGAAAATGTGAAAAGCAAAACTTGGCAAGACCATAACACTCCTGAATATGAATAGATACTGTATATTAAAGTTTTTGGCTTGCGAGGACTAACTCATTTAAATCACTTTATATTCCCTCGCATACAGAGTAACATACTGAATTTGTCGGTTCAAACAGTTAAAAACAAGTAAAACCCACAGCCCTTGGATTGAGACTCGAGTGAATGACCAACTCAGTACACCGAGACACCGAGACACCTCAATGCAAATACATTTCTGTGAAAGGCTTTAATTTCAATTTTCCTTAAATTCAATCAATAAATTAAAATCCAGAAAGCCTTAATCAATATTTTCCTATTGATATTGCGGTTAAACTACATGTAGGTTAATGATATATGTTTATTTTGCAAACGAGTATTATTTTTAAACTGTTTTGTATAACCGTTATGCTTTTTGATGTAAATATGTTCATGTTTATTCAGGGCCCCGTGGAAGACCACTACTTATTGGTGAATAGGCTACCCTGTCAAAAGATTAGAAATAAATAAATAAATACATTTATTTTAGCATTAACAAAAACGCTCCTACTATCAATATTCAAATTTGTAATTACAACACTGTACTAATATAACAAATAAATGAATATGAATGGTTTGTACTTGACGATTTACGCTACTGGTGGGTGGGTTCTCAAACTATTTCCTAGAAGGTCCAGAGGTGATTTCCATGAAAGCTATAAGGTCGGAACAGGCGCGAACGCAGGATTTTTTTCAAGGGGGGGGGGGGGGGGTTAACATTTTTAAATCGGGCCGAAAATTTCGCAACGACTCAGCCAGCCGCTGAATAAGCGAGGGGGGGGGGGGGTAAGAGGACACTTTTTTTTTTCCCCAAAAAAAATTGCAACGACTTAGCCAGCCGCTAAGTAAGCGCGGGGGGGGGGGGGGGGGAGAAGAGGACACTCCGTTGGGGGGGGGGGGGGGGGGTAAGGTCAACCTATTAGGTCAGCCATTGGTATAATTTTTTTATTTAAAAAAAAAACAAATACCAAAGGGGGGGGGGTGGGTTTCTCCAAAATACACATATACAAATTACCGCGGGGGGGTTAACCCCCCACCCCCCCCCCCCTGCGTACGCGCCTGGATCCGAAATATTGGAATGCCATTCGCCCAAAAATTCTTACGGTCAATCGTATACTAAAAATGAAGTAGAACAATGTACAATTGCTGGAAAGTCGGACGCAACTCAATTATTTCTCAATTTTGTTTCAGACTCAGAAAATCTTCTCCTTAAAGGTACTATTTCCCATTTGCAGGCCAAAAAAATGAAAAAGTTAAATTCCAACTGCATTTGAAAGATAATACTAATTTAGAACTTCCCTAAAAAAGGTGGGGCTTAAAAATGTCTTCAAGTGGGAAAATAACGACTTTTAGTTGTCAAATCGACTTTAGGGCTATAGAGCCCAAAAGTAATAGTCTTGATTTTCAGACAATAATTGTACCGAATGGTCATACGTTTTATGCTGCGCAAAGATTCAATCAGTTTAATCTTGGCCATCACAAGAAGTGGGTTATTGATGTAGAAAAATGCTCATGTACCATTTACAACTCTTTTCATATATGTTATTACCAAAGAAGAAAAAAAACCAGTCAGTCACTCAATAGTGTCTGACAGTGAAGTCTAGCAAGTAAACGGGTTTCCTTGCATAATTTGAATATGAGGACACTGCTAACGTTTAGATTTCACAGATAGGACATATATACATGACACATTCATATATAATTCCTGCAAAGTTCTACAGCATTTGAGGTTGGCTGCAAAAGGGACATAGTACCTTAAGTTTACGATCATGACATGTATATATGTATATTCACTAAACTGGTGTATTGGCCAAACATACGCCCATACGCCCATCTATAGCGCACTTACGTCACAATCTCCGATGAAGACAAAAAATGGCGGCAGCCAGATACCGGTAGGATCGTGATGAGATGATCTTTTATAATTTGATTTTTCAAAAAAAATGATGATCAAGATCTGAGATTTTCTTAGTGATTTCAAATGACTCATAATATATTTTTCGAATGCACAATTATTATTTTTTGATTTTCATTCTCTTTTAAATTAAGGAAATGTTAAACTCTGTCCCGTGTGGTCCGGATTGGCGTGCCTTGCGATCCGGACTTTGAGAAGCCCTTGTATAGAGTTATTTGTGTGTGTGTGCGCGCGTGTGTGGTGGAGGGGGGGGGGGAACATTTTTATTTCTGAAGGGCATAATGTTTATGATCGAATATCTTTTTATTTCGGTAAAAAACCGCTTGATAAAGGCATGACCCGGACTTCAGTTGTTGAAGTTAAAGAAAAAGAAGCATGGGCGGCATGATACATTTCAGAACGTGGAAAGGGGGGGGGGGGGGGGGAGAAGATGGACCGGCATCTCCAGAATGATATACAATGGGCAGGATAAAAAAATGAGGTCGTCTTAAATAATAGCACTAAATCTGTACACATACATTATTTATACTCCATACAGTTTATTAATAAAACAAGGAAGAGAATATAACACGTTGATATCTAATAACAACAATTATACTGTCAACGCTTAATTGCACTTTCGAACTTCTATTGAGATTGATAACTAAAACTTAACTTAAGTCTTATGAAACCCGTCAATCATTTCGCTTTCGAGTGCTAAACAAGAACCCACTATTATTAGTAGTACTACATCCAGATAAATATTGGTCTGCGGGGATAAGGGACCCATATTTTCGACTCCAGAAATGATGATAATGTTTACTATGGATTATTCAAATTTCTCCCTTGTTGGAAAGAACAAGACAATATCAACTGTTCAACTTGTGCTAGAGTCTTCAAGGTATCGTGTTTTCTTTATTTTGTAGACATTATGTGCATTGAATTTGAGTATGCAAGTGATAGTAGAAATGAATCGTTCCTTTTTCCTAACATTTCATCAGAACAATGTATGATTTGTTATGTTAAGTGCCGAGATTGTTTCTCTCTCGTCTGTCTGTAATGCATAATGTTGTTTTCACTTTTAAAACTTCGATTCTCCTCTCTCTCTCTCTCCTCTCCTCTTCTCTCTCTCTCTCTCTCTCCCTCTCTCTCTCTCCCTCTCTCTCTCTCCCCCATCCCTCTCTCTCTATCTTTCTCTCTATATCTCCTCTCTCTCTCTCTCTCTCTCTCTCTCTCTCTCTCTCTCCTTGTTTTGCTGTCTCGCTCTATCTCTGTTCCTTCACCCCCAATATATCCCTCTCCGAATGCGCCTTTTTTTTCTCTCCCTGCTTCATCCCTCTATCTTCTCTCTATTATTTTAATCTGTAACCCTCTTTATTGCTCCACCCCTCTCTCCTCCATCGAACAGTCTCATTATCATCATGCTGGGAGCAATACTCTTCAACATCCTCGTCATCACCACCATCCTACGTGTACGGAGTCTGAGACAGAACTATCATAACATGTTGGTCCTCAACCTATCTTTTGCGGATCTGGGTGTAGCGCTTACCAGTATGACGTTCTCACTGGTATCTGTCTTTGATAGTGGACATTTCTTAACAACACATGATGGAGTATGCAAAGTGAGTTTATTGACCATAGGTATCGCATAGGCCTAGGATTCTTTAGACCTACGTACAAATTCCTTACACTGGCATATTACTGATCCAGAGGGGGTGGCGTCGGGACGCCACAACCAATCATGGGCTACTCAATCTAAATCGCCGCCATCTCATATGAAATTGTTGCTACATCTCTCATAGAAAACCACACCATCTCCCACAAAAATTGGCGCCATTTACAGCCATGAAATCGGCATCATCCCATACGAAATGGGCTCTACCTCCCATACAGTTGGCGCCATCGCTCATTATCCCGGTATTAGCCTTTACATCCTTACATCCTACGGAAAAAAAATGTCTTGCCAATTCAGTGCCGCAGCGAACTCGGACCACGATCCATGTGATCAAAAGTCTGGTGACGTATCTCTCAGACCACGACACCTTTACATATCTCTACGTCTCCCATAGGCGCCATCTAACTTCAAATGGGCAAAACGTGGGCTCAATTTCACGTAGATTTATTTTTATACGTGAATATATTTCATCGTTATCTGTCATTTTCCTCGTATAGGTTATCTCTGTTTCATTGTTTATTAAGACTCAATGTATTCAAGAAGACAAGGGCCCCACACTTGCCATTTCAAGTTTATTCCACTTCTCGGACTCTTTACCGTCACCATGCTCTGTTAATGTTAAGTAAAAGTCCTCGTTATAGAAGAATTAATTAAGAAGTGGTAATTAACTAAAGCTCACCGAACACTTTACGATCTGCCTACGATCCGCTTATAGTTAAAATAGTTAAATTTACAATAGCATTTGATATGAACATTCATATTGCAAAATTCGAATGATCGAGGATCTGAATGGTCATTATGGTTAATAAAAAATAGAATACAAGGGGGCTTAACCCTATCTTAACCGGGCTATTTCAGACCAGGTTTTTACCAAGGGGGGGGGGGGGGGGGGGGGGAGATCTCGCCGCGAAAATTTGCATGGAGGCCAATTGAAGTGTATAAAATACTATGGTAATTTCAATTGTTTGAACAAATTACTCATTTGCATATTTATGGTAATTTATGCAAATAAGGTCCTAACATTCACATTTTTACCCATAAATCATATATTCTTCATATTTAAGCATTCTTTTTCATTACATATATTCGTTAGACCATTTGGAATAATAATACGACCAAAAAAATGGAAGAGACAGGTTATTCCTTATGTTATAAGTTGTTTCAATAATTTCTTCATGTATTTCGTCATGTATTTCATTGTTTTTTTAACTTATATATTTTATTGTTTCTGTTGTTTTATTTAATTTCTTACTACAATTCTACAATTTTGACCCCCAAACAAACACCTAAACTGGTAATAAGACCAAATAACCAATGTTTTATCTCTTTCTAGGAAAAATGATATTTCCATATGTATTGTACACAAATCACAAAAATGAGCGATTTCCTGACTGACATGCAAAGAAAAAAGTTTTTTTTAAAAGATTTGTAAGACTCGAAAGTAAAAGAAGTAATGAAAGGAAAACTTTATAATCTGACGCGGTTCCGGAGTAGTCGCTAAATTACTACAGGGTGGGGTCGAATTGACCCCCCCCCCCCCCCCCCCCCCCCCCCCCGTTGACATGCAATACAATTCCGATTGTTAGTATTTTTATTATTATTTAGAACATAAAGCACGGAGATAATTTTAGTTGGGATTCTCATATCTAAAATAATTGCTATTTGTTTGAAAATCGGATCGAAGGAGATGTGTATAGTATGCAGTGGGCCTAATAAATGTAAGATTAAACTTTGGTATTTCCACCTTCAGGCGAACGGATTCTTCTCCACCATGTTCTCCTACACAAACTTCCCCGTTATTCTCTCCATCGCCACTGACCGTTTCCTTATCGTCGTTTTATCCAAGCGTTTCCCTCCAAATCGACGTCGTGTCTTCGTCATGATTGTCGTGTGCTGGCTCGTAGGAATAATCATCGCGTCCATCGCATCGGCCGGTTTAGTGATAGACTACGAATACGACCAAAGTACGAAACACTGCACTCGTATCTGGGGAATAGATATGTTCCGCATCATAAGCAGTGTCTTATATTTAGGAGTAACCATCCCAGGTCTGATCGCAATATACGTCATCATCGCGTACTTCATTCGGAAGGAGGGCTTGAGTCTTCAACGTCACCAGCTGTCTTCATCGATGTCCACGTTGAGGTCGCTGTCGAATGTGCCGAATAGAAGTGTGATGGACTCAGGTGAAGTGAGTGTCCTTACATTGCCTATTATGAATCCCTTTTTTCTATCCCCCCTCTCTTTCACTCTCTTTTACAATTTGCCTTCTCTTCTTTCCCTTCCTAATGGTATAGATCTTTAACATTTCGTCCTTACATATTTCCGTAGTTGCACACACAATCGTTTCTTTTCTTGACTTATGATATTCTAAGCTGAATAGTAAGTTATCTAGATATACGTTCTTTATTCAACTAAGCGCACTTATTCCTGTTGGGAAATTGTTATTGGTGGTCTTTCAAGGACCATTTTACTGTATTGAATAAGAGACAGCTTTCGATAGTAAAGAAAAATTAGATGTGGTTTCAGTACGACATACTAGACTGCACACAAAGTAATAATATATATATGCAGCTATGATCAGAATATAAGGTGTTTTAATTAATAATAACATAATTATTAGCTGCAATGATTTGTAATAACAATTGAAGTATCGACAATTTTATTATTGTCATTAATTTGATTGGAGTATTATCTTATCTCTGATTGTTAGTATGTCGCTTATTTTCTTTGACTGCAATCATCATTTCCTGCTCTTTACCTCACATACCCTTTCCTATTTAATAGTGTTCGTTCTTTTCTTTCGCTTTCCCCATCTCTCGTCTTTACTTCCCTTTGAGAAATTTCTTGCCTATCGAAATCATTTAATTGACTCTCACTGACTGTAGTCTATACTGACGCTATTTATATACTCCATGTTACTTACCACACCATTCTCATATGATATAAACACTACTTATCTTTAAAGGTATTTAAAGACCTGTATTGGAAACGCCCCAATTTCAAAAAATGAAATGGAAGCTCTTATTACCAATCATGTGAAAGAATATGTTTTGACTAATACATGATGATAACAATTTTGCTGGGAAACCGCCTACTAATTGATATATTTGGTAAATTAGTTTATCTACATGGTCTGTGAGAGATAAACGCACGTGTCGCGCACGTGTGCGTATAGTCCCATATACATCTTTCTGTGTACAGTGCTTGTAACTTTACGAAGACTGGGCCATATTTCTTATCATTTTGATGATTCCAGAACCTTGCAGTACACACCAATACTTATATGCTAGATGATCAACCTTTTCTGATCGATTCCACAACATTTCTTTCACAATGCAATCGCATGACCATAACTGGTTTTTACCTTTAATCTATTTCCACTTGATTAATATTTCTGAAATGTTAATTATCTCATATATATATATATATATATTATTTCATTGAACTATGTATCATATTTGAAAAAACCGTATGTGCCCTGCTCTGGCATATCCATTGTTCTGGGGCATGTATGCTATATTGTGATATATCTCTGTATAATTATGATCTGTAAGTACCACTGCCTACTTTTATTATGAAATAAATGCATTACAAATGACGGGGAGGGGGCAAGATGTAAATTATATATGAGAGAAGTTATAATTGGGTCATAATCGTGGCCTACAGTATACGAGGTATACCTCTGTATTGAATTCTAAATGATTCGGCTTGTTTCTGCTAGGTACGAACTTTAAAGGGAGTGTATCATGGCAAATACTGGTTAACGCCATCTGCGTCTTGTTTTTGACAACTGCATGTAAACGAATGGACTTGATTAATTGGGTCAGCGCGTGCTAGCACTCGCGAAACAGACCGAAGTTCTCCTCATGCTTTGGTTTCGCGTATGTTGCACGCACGTATGTTGGTCGCGTCGTCCGTAGTCGTACTATACCGATTGGCCCTGGGTAGGGCCACGGGAAAGACATAGCCTCGTCATGATACACTCCCTTTAATGTCAAACTTCTTTATATTCAGTGCGTTCTACATGTATATTGAACACAAATCGTCGTGTGCCCGGCAGAAGGGCGTAAACGCCTGTGCGCACGAAAAACCGGGATTCGAGAAAATCGCGTTTGAAGATTATGCTCCTTTTTGCACGACACATTCCTCAAGTAATTACTGTCCAAAAGTTTTCTAAATTTAACCAAATGATAACATATCTATTCAAGAATTATCGACCTAAATATTATAAGAAATGGTGCTAAACTTTTAAAGATATAAGCACTTTTTCCGTTCACGCCCTTCTGCTGGGAACAAATTTACGCTAAAGCGGTGTTTTTCTTCCCGGCAGAAGGGCGTAAACGGTGTTTACGCCCTTCTGCCGGGAAGGAAAACAACAGTTTAGCGTAAATTTGTTCCCAGCAGAAGGGCGTGAACGCGCTCAGCGCGTAGTAATGCAATGGAAGAAATGAACAATACTTAGAATTATTAATAAATTAGACTAAAAACTAAGATTATGATAAAGTAGCTTTAAATAAAATATGTTGGATTTTATTCTTCAAAATCTGCATGTCATTCGGTACCATAGATCAATGTGAATGCGAACAGAAATAGATAGTTGTTCCCCAAGTATTTATCGAAAATCGTAAGGTCCATATCTTTCCAACAAACTTCCTTTAAATATTCAATCAAGTAGTTAATTGCCTCTATTTAAAGTATGTTGCCGATCGTTATTTCACACTGTCTTGTTGTGTCTGTTCATGGGGGGGGGGGGGGGGTGACTGGTTTAAACCTCCCATACGTTTTTTCTTCTTTTTCTTCCTTAATATTTAGTTGTTGTTGTTTTGTTTTTGTTCCCAACTCTAGTATTCATTTGTTTTTGTGCTAGATTCACAAAAAAGATAATGGATAAATAAATGTTGTAATGTATTCGTTTAGAGTATCCATTAATTTGTTTAATTATTATACTATTATGTAGTTCTGTGTTAAATTTGTGTTTTGTAATAAATGTGATGTTATTTTATGTACCTGTTTATGTAGGGCTTCCTTGGAAAGCAGGCTATTATGCTGCATAGGAGGGCTGGGAGTTTATCTCATTTGAGCTTGATATATTAGATTCGAGTGGTCTTTATTTTTAATTAAAATTATAATCATGATTATTATAATTCTTTATTAGTAATAATAATGTTTTATTAGTAATAATGTTATATCACTATCATCATCCTCATCGTCAGAAAAATAATTATCACATTATCATCATTATCATCAAGCATATATACACAAATGAAGTACAAAAATGACACAAACATGCAATCTCTATTGTTTTTAAAGAAATTGGATATGAATAACTTGCATATTATTCACTTTATTACTTTTTTGATTTCTGGAAAATGGGCCAATCACGCAATGTCAACCAATAACCTGAAGCAAATGTCTTATTTTCAAACATTATATCAAAGCAATTTATCATCTATTTTAATCATTGTCTATTGTTAGATCTGCATTGTGGATTGCATTATTAAATCATTAATTAACACTATTCTATTTTTTCCATTTCTCATTTTTAACTCTTTATTTTCTTTTAAATGAACAAATGAAGTAAAGAAATTCTGTAAATCCATTCATTTTAACATTATGATAACTGTTTTCTGTAATGTTTCTGCTCTTATTTACAATTCGTTTTCACCTCATGCTTATGGATCACAGTCACCTCATATTCACAAATCAATCTCTCCTAATTTTTCAGGAAAATGTACATGCAAATAGTGTTAGCTTTTAGACGAGTAAACAGGTGAAACCGTAAAGACAGAAGGAAAATCCTGTTAGATATGCACAAAATGCAAATTTACAAGTCTTGCATAGTCCTTCATTTATGGAAAGGAACATAACCGGTATGATATTTTCTCATTAGTAAATAGCTCTGACAATTACACTTTAAGATCTTGAGCAAATGTAGATTCAAGGCATGAAACAAACACTCGGTTCTCAAGGTAGCACTTCTATGAGCTGGATATATTGTTTATGATTTCATAAACACTGAGCTCAATATCCTTACTGGTGTGTCCTAGAATATTTCTACACAATACCTTTACATCAACCAGATATGTTTTGTCTCTTTAAACAAATCTTACAAGACTTCCTTCGCTCTTGAAAACAAAGAGAGAAAACAAGTACCCAGTTCTCCACAATTATTGATTATCATACATGCATTTCTGCAGAATGGGAAAAAATGAAATATACGGAAGACATTGAAGAAATTTGTCTTCTGTGAATTGAATGACTATTCTTACATGAGACATTTATACTCCTGCCTGTTAACATTTCACGAATATTTATAATTCCTCTTCTATTTCATTAACAAAATTTAACTCATACAATAGACAACCTAATCATAAGATACTATCAACTTCAGATTTATATTTCAGTAAATATTACTCAAATAAATAATTATGATTCCAAATACTTCACAAGCACCTTGTCAACAAATATATTTCATGAACCTGATTATTACATATTGTAGAGTGAAAGTGTGGACTTGTCAAATTATCAATCTTACTCATGAATTTGCACGGTAGTTCAGGTAAAAAAAAAAGAGAAGGGTAAGTTGTATTTCCTCTGAACATGACTTCAAAAATTTACTGTAAAGAAAGCAAACAGCGACACTCCCAGGAAACATCTAATTATGTAGCAGTACCAATAGCAACAATACCAGCTTCCAAAACCTTCATACATGTAGTTCTCTAGAGGTAATAAATATTTTAGGCCGAATGATTGAAACACAAAAAATTCCTTTATTGAGGAATTTCTTTTTATCCGTTGCTCCGACAGGACTTAACGATACACACTCCCGTCTATAACATGTACTTAGGACTCAGTCCCTTCACATATTATTTTGGGGTATTTGTACAACATTCAGGTAAAATCACCAATTCATATCACATTTGCATCTCTTGAAAGCATGTGCAGACTGTGCCAAGTTAAAGTATTAAATATGATCAAGGTGAAAGTTCAAAGGTCAATGGACTCTCCATTAAACCACTATGTTCTGTCAATAATTAACTACAACTTTGAGGTAGTATAACCATATTCGTACTACTTGAATATCTTTTGAATGCCCTTTTCAAGTGGGAATATAATGGATGAAAGGTCAAAGGTCCTTGATCACTCTTTTAAAACCTGCATTTTATACTATTAGCCTACAAGAATCCTGTCATGGATCACCTATCTTGCTTCCATCAAGTGCATTTCCATTTCACAACTGGTAGGCACAGATCTGTTTAATCTTCTGGATATTCTACTGCCATTTCCGAGGCTGGGCAGCCCTTTATCCTTGCCTTGCTCTTCTGTAAAAAAAACCCACAAAAGACACATGGTATACGTAAAACAGTTAGCACGCATCTTATTTTGACCGTCTATAACTGACTTGTACAGTGTACTAATCTTTCTTTACAATCTATCATTACATCCATTTTTACTGTATGCATATCCAAGTGATTATAATTAGCCTTTTTCAGTACGTACATTCTAAATTTTCTTCAGATAATTTCATTTATACCTGACATCTAACATTCATTTAATATTTTACCTGATGCTCAAAGTCGAGGTAACAACTTACCCAGTAGTGATATCTAGGCCCTGTCTTACAAAGAGTTGCAATTGATCCAAATCAATCGCAAGTCCTCTAATCAATCGCAAGTTTGCAATCTCTAATGTACATAGTTGCGATTGAGATCATCACAAATAAATTGCGATTAATATAAACTCTTTGTAAGACAGGACCCAGATGGGCACATTAATTCTAAATACCAGTACATTTTGTGTTACTACAAAATACAATACCAGATTTATACATCTAATTATTTTCTCAATCTTTCATAAATACTGCTTATGTGTTCATTAAAACAAATTGTATCATTCAGAAATTTTTATTTAGCTCAAGCGTTCACTGAAATGTTCCTCTTATTGTTCTGCTTCTATTAAAACCAACTTAACATCAGGGTGGACTTCCCCTTTATGATATTTTCATGTTCATGTTAAACACATATTCCCCTTTAATGGTTTATTTCAAGAAACAAAGAAAACATTATTTTCCTCATCAAACTTAACAGCGGCATTTTACATCACTGCTCTGATGGTTATTTTTTATCTTATTTGTGGCTTTAAAAAATAGAAATAGAAATAGAAATAACATGTGTACCTCGTCATAATCAAGCTCCATTGGCTTTTCATTGCAAAGATGAGATTATGTGACAATGGTAACAGCAGTGTAAAGCTGAGATGAGCTGCCAGGAGAAACTGCTCTGCTGGTGTTAACCTATCGAACCAAACATACATTAGATATTTATATCATAAGTCTCAATAATCCCTGTGATATGTAATTTCTGTTTTTCTTTTTTAATCTCTATGTTATGACATTAAATAGGTTACTGTGGATAAAGAAATAGAAAAATTAACAAATAAAAAAGTAAGTTTATACAGCTGATTACATTTTTAAGACAAGTGAAGCATTTTGTTCAAATTTTGAGATTGCAAAGATTCAAAATTACCAGAAATCCATCTATATTGATGAGGGTGTCACTGGGAACTCCGGTGATGTTCATCTTCAGGGAAGTGTTGGGCTAGGAGTACTTGCAACATCTGAATACAGTGATAGCTGGCTGATCTGGAAAAAAGAAATAAAAACACAACGTATTACAAATATAATCAGTTTTTTCAAAAATTGTCATTGTTTATTTGTGTGTTCTTTTTTTTCTGGAATAGTAAGAGGGTTTTGTTCTATCAGAATAAAGGAATAAAATATACCACCTATTGAACATATAAAACTCATTTTTCAGCATATTAATCATTTACAAAGTCACATCTAGGGACTAAATAGATGTTTTTTTTAAAGTTTTTTTAATACCAATCTTTAAAAAAAATTAAAGAAATTACCTGCTCCTTTCCATTTCCTCCTCCTCATCATCATCAGAGGTGGAAGTGGCAACACTGTCATCAATAGTCAACACAACCCCATGCCATGTCACCTTCCCCTTGGCATGCTGACTTGAGTTCCCATCTTTGGTCTTGAATTGATCATTGGACTTTATTTCTCCAATGACAACCACATTTTGCTCCCATCTTCCCATTCGACAAGAATGTCACTTGTTAGGTCCATGTTGATCTGTGAGACAAATTTTAAATATAGCTTTATACATTATAATATGGCTGGAAATGCTATAATCTAAACCTAGGCAAACCTGAGAACATAATTTAGGGAATGAATATCAAATATCTGTATAACATATATGTATCATCGTATAAAAAAAAGTGTCATCATATATTGAAATATGGTACAATACACATTTCAAAAAATATTTATGGATTTGGGTTAACAAAATTGAAATTAGATTTCATAGATCTAGAGGTCTACATAAGTTTTTTTCCTCATTTCTTGGTCCTGATTGCGAACTGGATCCCCCTTACAGAATGCGCATATTCTTATGTCGAGAAGTGTTATGTTTTCCTGTATGCTTGACTGTGCCTGTTGTAAATCATAGTGTATGGTAATACATGTACAATGATGTGATGCTAGTAAAGACTTCATTACTGTGTCTTGTTTTGACTCGATTGAGATCACTCACTTTAATATTCACTTACATCAGTAGTAGCAGGCACTGGCACTATTGGTCACTGTCATGTCTATGATTATGTTTGGATTCATTTATGAAATGAAATGTCCTGGGATATTTCCATTTGAGCTAGTAGTTAGTTAGTTATTAGACTAACGATAGACTTGGGGCTTTCCACTGCTACACGGCATGAGGTCTAACTAACTGTAATGAGTTTCACTCACAATCATAGCCTAGGTCTAGGCCTAGATCTATGTGATTTGTGTTCTATTTTAAATGTAATAAAACAACTTTCCTGAGAATTCAAAGAAATGCACAATATTAATTTATCCAGAGACTAGTTCACATATGAATCGTTTAAGTTTGGTCCCAGACGTAAACAATCATATCTGATAGATACACGACCGACAATAACTCAACACACACAAACACATACATGACAGACACAAACCAAAAACAAACAAAAAAGTGAACTAGTGGGACCGATCTAACAAAATCGGTACAATCAGTCAGATATATTAGCTGATTCTCAACATTATGCCCACATTCAATCAACATAATGTAATAGTAACATTTTTTTGTCTCAAAATGATGACAAATTTAACTTTTTTCTTGGTTTTTAAAACAAATAATTGCAAACACTTACCAAATTCGGGAGTCACAGCAGATTACAAAAGTCCAATGGCAACCGTCCGCCGCGTATAAATTACGTCACGCGCGCGTTCACGACCTTCTGCTGGGAAGACTTTTGATATTTGGCTGCCTACGCCATTTTCATATTGGTGTATTACGTAACAATTACGTAATTATATGAATTAAAAAGCACATCATTCGAAAGGTCTTGAGAAGATCTACACATTTTTACCGAAATTTGAAAATCAAAAATTTCCCCAAATTTTGAGTTAACGCCCTTCTGCCGGGCACACGACGAAATGTATGTTTGAATCAATGGCCAGCTAAAAAATAATGACAATCACACCCTCTTGATTAGGAATCAGAAACACGAATAACGCTTCCCCAACCAGCACCAATGAGACGACTGTCGGATTCGGCTGAAGACGACGGAAACATCAGCGTCAGTACGGAGGCTCACAGCGTCAAGAATGTCAACGCAACGGCAACGGACAGGAAGATCAAGATGAAACGTCGGCGTCAGCGGCATGTAGCCCACAAACGCGTCATTCTCGTGGGTAGGTAGTTTGATTGTTTGCACATTGCACACAATGCGTCATACTGGTGACGTAAGACTTCTGACGCGGGCTCGGACGTGCCATACGAGAGTGACAATGTACAAAGAGTGAATGCAAAATTAAAAGGGCAAATACTGCTTTAAAATTATTTGTGTGTAGTCAATAACCTCCACATCTTTGATTGGCGCTGTTAATAACACAATTAGCACAATCAACGTGTCGGAAATGATAAAGAGGTTTCATTTCAGTTTTGGTTTCACCCACCCAATATTCAACAGTCTATGGCTTATTTAGCAATGAACTTAACAACTATCATTAGATTTGCACGTCGACAAATGGACTGCAACGTCACACGTAGCATTCACTATGTCGACGTGGAAATCTTAAAGTCCCTAATGTTGAATGACATCTTTTATGCCCGTTGTACATGGTGGCTGGCGTAGGACTGCGTGAGCTACGGGACTTTGGTGCGCTATTTGAGATTGGTACGGTCAACAAATTGAGTGCAAAATGTATATTCTTTTGAATTACTGGCCGATCCGCGAATTACATTAGCTTAGGAAATAGCGCAAGTGAAAGACATGTTGTTTACAACGTCATTTTTATCATTGGATATTGAAAGCTAGTATAGTCTCAATTTTAACTGTCCGTTTACACTGGCATCTCCTATATATCCCTCTTATTCCTTGACTTCAGGTGCACTGCTTGTTTTCACGACGATCATCTGTTGGACTCCTTACTTGATGTATCACTCAAACTACATCCGGGTCAGTGAGGGGGAGGGTCACTGGTTTGGTGTTTTGACGATGTGGCTGGGATACTGTAACGCCCTCTTCGATCCACTCATATATGCTTTCCTCAACAGACGTGTGAGGGCGGAATTATGGAAACTGAAGAGGAAAACATTTGCATGCTGCAACTCCTGAATATTTAGTGTGTTTAAAAAAGAACACAAGTGGAAAGAGTAAGAAAAAAGCAAGGATGGATGATTCACGTTTGTTCTTATGTTTACATGTTTTTATCTACTTTACACGATCAATGCAACTTATATTTTAATCACAGTGCAAATCGGCGGTTATGACGAATTAAATAAATATCCTTTACCACTGGACATGTAAGTAAAACAAACAAAAAGGATAAAGGGACAGCAAATTTCCAGTACAGGCTCACAAACCAGCCAACGTAGTACAGAATAAATACTGAGCAGTGCAATCAAAGAAAAAACAGATGAAAGTGTCAAAGGTCGAATTTCCATTTTTTTCAAATGGGCGATTAATTTCCTTTACCCTTTAAAGGTACTATGTCCCTTTTGCAGCCAACCTCAAATTCTGTAGAACTTTGAAGGAATTATGAATATGTCATGTATGTCCTATCTGTGAAATGTAAACGCTAGCAGTGTCCTCATATTCAAATTATGCAAGGAAACCCGTTTACTTGCTAGACTTCACTGTCAAACACTATTGAGTGACTGACTGGCTTTTTTTCTTCTTTGGTAATAACATACATGAACAGAGTTGTAAAGGGTACATGAGCATTTGTCTACATCAATAACCCACTTCTTGTGATGGCCAAGATTAAACTGATTGAATCTTTGCGCAGCATAAAACGTATGACCATTCGGTACGATTGTCTGAAAATCAAGACTATTACTTTTGGGCTCTATAGCCCTAAAGTCGATTTAACAACTAATAGTCATTATTTTCCCACTTGAAGACATTTTCAAGCCCCACCTTTTTTAGGGAAGTTCTAAATAAGTATTATCTTTCAAATGCAGTTGGAATTTAGCTTTTTCATTTTTTTGCCCTGCAAATGGGACATAGTACCTTTAAGCAAGCAATGGAGTTTCCCCTGAGTTTTTAAATGTCTTGAAAGAATTGAAGATGGGTTTGTACATACAACAAAATACATAGATAAATATTCGTTACATCAATTTAAAAAAAAATGGAAGGAAACACTCTAAAATAGAGGGTAATTCGTAGATAAACCACAGAACGAAAATAATTACGAGGGTGTGGTTTGGCCGAAAGGGTGCGTTGACTAGTCTTCCTTATCAGTCATTTATAATAGAATATAAGGAATATAAATTTTAGTCGTTTAAATTCAAATAATCACAATGGAAACAGATACAAAATTATAAACAATGCGTCCCAGAAAAAACGAAACCGAGAGTTATCGATGTTTTATCATAACTTAATCACAATTATAATTGATAAATGACACATATTTGGAAAGCTTAGATCCTCTTTCATTTGATGCAACTCATATAGTGCATATTTCACGCATGAGTGATTAAAATGAATTTGAAGAGAGGGAAGCAAAAAGTTATTTGACGGACGGTATCTGCATTTCAAAGAGAAAATCACATTTCTAGAAAGTCGAGTTTCTGTCCTTTCATATGACACCTTAATAAGGGAAAAATGAGCAAGAAATTACCAAGTTCTGTTTGTTTAAGGTAGTGCTTGCATTTCCATAATTTTATCAAACGAATTCGTTTTCACTGGCTGCAGACAACAGACTTAACTCCGTTTCGCTGACAATCAGCCATGCATGAAGTCTTTCATCTACGGCTAAAGTCTTTTGTCCACGATATGCGCGTATCGCTATTATAAAGGCCTCCATAGATAAATACCGTATAGGTGGCATGCGCAATGTTTATGAAATTTAATTCCTGTGAACTTACCTTTTCTTTGAATGGAATTGTATATGTGATTTAATTCACGTTTTTATTATTGTTATGTTCTTTTGGGTTAAAAATACAAACCACGTTTACTCCTTTGCTGCTTTTTTTTTGAGGGGGGGGGGGGGCGTTTTTTTTTTTTGGGGGGGGGGGGGGCAAAAATGCGTTTTGTCTTTCAAATGCCCTTGGAATTCAAACTTTTCATTTTGTTGGCCTGTTAATGTGACATAGTACCTTTGAGAGGATTAGAGCTTGTTTGATAAGTTTGTATGAATGCGCCTATAATAATTACAATAATAATAACAATACTAATAGTAATACTTCTATTACAACTATTAAAAAAATTATGATAGTTAAAATAATAACAATAATATATTCGATTTTTAAGGCGCCGAATCAACTTGAAATCAAATACTCGAGGCAAAATGGTGAGACAAAAACACAAAAAGAGATCACATAAAAGTATTTGCATTATACACAAAGGGAAAAAAGTAAAATAGAACATACAGAAATGACAGAATAATTAATTATATGCCGAATTAAATAAATATGTTTTAAAGATTACTTTTAAACACTTTAACTTGTCTTCTCTTATGAATCGCCTATTTAAAGTATGTGGCTTGTTACTGAAATATTAAAGAAAAATGTATGTGTAGCACGATAAGGGTTAATACAAGAATATTGTTATAATAATGTTATTTAATTGTTGTGTTAATGAATGAACATGGGAATACAATTTCAGATATTCTCGCATTCTTAATTGTGTGTACGTGTTCATACGTGGCAATTGGGTTCATGACATACTATATGTGTGTTATATATTCATATTTTTTTTTAATGGGGAACGCGAAACACTTTCTTTCTCGAAAGGGTGCCGTGACTATATAACAAGGTTGAAAAACGCTGGTTAACATGGAATCGCCTCTATAATTTGTTCACCCCCGAACAAAAACTTTCACAAAGACTGCGCTATGGCTCAGTTGGAGAGCAGTGAACATAGGGTTCGAAACCAAATCGATGTCTATAGTAGTGCCCTTTCATAAAGCATTTAATCCTTATTAATACCAAGTCCCTCGGAGAGCACTTAATGCCGCCGATCCCCTGGTTTCTTATTACAAGCAGTATCATTCAAGTAAACCATATTATTAAACCATCAGCCGCTACCATGAGTGTATAGAGAAATGAGTGTTTGGGGGTATTGTGAATGAATATTGTAAAAGCGTGTTCACTGATCCACGCAACATAACTCTTATTTTTTTTTAGCTACGAGGAAGCAAGGTTGCACTGGCAATACAAATACATGGAAGAAAGTATTCCCTTTTCGTTATGTTTATTGGGTACTGATGAAGCTGACTGTACACTTGCAAAGTGTAGTCAAGCACAAAACGATGAATCGGAATATGAATGACATAAAAGAGAATTGGTAATATTGCACGGAGTTTAAATGGTCATATAATGAATAAGAACGAACATGAATAAATGCGACGGACATGATGAATAAAAGCTTACGACTGAATGGAAATGACATCGAAAGTCCAATGAAGATGAAGAGATGTGAAAAACGAAGGAAGGGGCTCACGCGATGATGGTGCGGAGGCTTGAAGAGGCGGAGATGTAGCTTCATTGTCGTGGCTGAAGAGCCGTGAAGAATCTCGACGCTGACTCTCGTGATGAAAATGATGAAAAAGCTCTAAGGCGAGAAAAGAAGAGAAGAAATGTGGCGCTCAATGACAAAGCAGTGAATCGCTTGATGTCGGAGGCGAAGAGTAGAAATGTAGACATCAAAGTCGGTGGTGAAGATGAGCAATGAGTCGCTGGATGAATGATCCGGACTTTGATGGAGAAATTCATCAGAGTTACAGTGATTCGAACTCGTTGATGAAATAATAGACGAACTACGATGAGTCGAGCTCGTGTATGTAAAGAGCAACCGGAACGAAGAAACTGGCAGCTCCCAGTGGAGAATCAAGCGCCATGTCGGGAATGATTAAAACTTCCAACTGGGAGACGGCCAGCCCGATGGAGACGGCAGAAAAA